TCAGTAAGAGAAATCGAAGAAATTGAATTTCGTCGATTACAGCGCCATCTATCATGAATCGAGAAAAATGTTTCAGACAAATTGTATGTGTTTTTAGCCAAAGATTCCGAATATGCAATAAAAAATAGGGGTTCCCATTTAAGATTTAAAACTTGCCCCCCCTCACCGCCCAAGGGGTGGGGTGGGGGGTCTGATTTTAACGTCATTGTATGTCCCCCTCGAAATGATGAAATTTTGATTCTTAACATTTTTTTCGTAGTGTGCTTATTTTTTGAGATATTTGAATGTCTCCAGTTAAAAGCATCACCCTGTATAACGCTATAGGCCATATATGAAATTCGTGGCAATAGATATCGATTACGGTATTGCTCATACCTTTTTAAAAAAAGGTAAAAACAAGGCGCCAAGTGTGCATGTACCTTTCATAAAAAAACTGTACTTTACATAAACTAAAAAAAAACCGTTACATAAATAATATAATTTAAGTGGTAATATTGTCAATTTTTTATTATAAATTACCCCTCAGTAGTAAGTATGCATGTATTAAAAAAAAAATGAAATCAAATCTTTAAATTACGCCAATTGTAAAAAGAATATATAATTTCAACATATAACATATACTATTGTATTTTGTAAATTGAGAAGAACATATATTTTATTGCAACATATAACATTTAATTAACGAGACAAAATGATACGTACCTTTATCTTTCTATTCAAGAGTCTTTTATATTTGCAATGGAATACAACATTTGTTAAGTATTCCCGGACTTGATCTCGGCGCGCTTATTAACATCCACGACGCTGTGGCCATCTCTCTGTGCTCGCGGCAATTTCGTTACCTCCCCGCGCCCCGCAACCTCCTTTTTTTGGATTTCCCCTGATCGGTTCTGCAGCCACAGGGACGCTCGGATCGCGCATGCGCGACAACGCTAACATCAGACATCTTTGCTGTTCCGCCAACAACGCACGTTGTTCCCTCGTGCTTCCTAATTTACATCAATAAAAGTGGTTAAAAACTACACGAGTGACTTTTCCTTGGCGAAGACACCTCCCGAGACACGCCGTCGACTGTACGGCACCGCAGCGGCGAAAGAGAACAAATAAGAAGGGCACATGCCCCTCGGCCACGGTCCCGAGTTGCACATTCCGGGGTTTCCGTGGAAGGCACGAGCCACGAGCGCCACATTGGCTCAACGCTACATTGGCGCATAAACAAATTGGTCCTTCGAGCCGGATACAGCAACAACGTTTTGGTGTCAGTGCCACTGCGGTCGAACATTCGAGGAGGTTAGCTGTAGCGAGTCACAAATCTCGCGACAGCAAGGGACTGATCCAGACATTTCCAGTCTTCTTCGAGGAGCTGTTCCTCGCGACGCACAAGGGGATCCTGCAAACATCTGACGCATTTCCATCACTGGCAAGTAGCTGCGAGCCCAGGACACGGCCACATCAAGCGAGTTCCTGCAACGCTGCCGCTACGCGCCATCAGGACCGGCCATCTTTACGCAGCCGAGGCCACGCTCTTTTCATTTCCGTGCGCGTGCGAATTGCTTGTAAGGTAAGGTCAGCTACTTCAAGGTCAGTGCCGACTGATTATTTTATTGCTTCCCTCGCTCAGTCAATTTCGTCGCTTTCGCCATGGCTAACAATGACGAGGTGGTTGTGTTAAAGCGCCGCCGCGCGATAATCATCGGTTCTTGCACTCGTGTTCGAACGTTCGCAGACTCAATCGAATCGGTCACGCCGCCCATTGCGGCTCAACTTGAAGAACGCCGAGCTAAGTTAGACGGTTATTGGTCAAGTTACGACGAAGTGCAAACGAAGCTGGAATTGTGCGACGAGGCAGAGGCGAATCATCGCGTCACTTTCGAGGAAGCATTTTATTTTACATCCGCTAAATTACGCGAATTACTCTCTAGCGCCAGTCAAATGCGCCCCGCCGCCTCTCCATCGCCGTCACCCTCAATTTCCGGCGTCGTCAATCAGTACAATCATATCAAACTCCCTAGGTTGGACCTTCCGAAATTTTCCGGTAAATACGACGAGTGGTTCCCGTTTTTTGATAGCTTTCAGTCTCTCATACATGCCAACCCGTCGTTAGATAATATTCAAAGGTTGCAATACTTGAAGGCCTCCGTCGTCGGCGACGCGGCAAAAATAATCACCGCGTTGGAAATTTCTGGCACGAATTACGACGTCGCGTGGAACCTGCTGAAAGAGCGTTACGATAATAAACGCGTCATCGTTCAAAGCCACATAAAGGCGATCATGGATCTGCCGTCCATGAGTAAGGAAAACGTCGTCGAGCTTCGTCAAATCGCAGACGGTACTACCCGACACGTTCAAGCCCTCAAGGCTTTAAAGCGCCCCACAGCGCAATGGGACGATTTATTAGTTCAAATTTTGACTAGCAAACTAGACGCGCTCACTTCTCGCGAATGGCAGTTGTCGCTGACGAGCTCGCAGCTGCCTACGCTAAAACAATTCATTGATTTTATCGCTCATCGATGTCAAACTCTCGAGGCCAACGGTAAGCCAGCTGTGCCGGCACAAGCACAGCATAATGCGAGGCGCCAGTCATGTCTCGCGACGGTGAAGGCTAAGTGCGTGTTTTGCAAGGGCGAACACTTCATATATCATTGTCAAAAATTCTTAGCATTGCCGGTTCGGCAAAGAATTTCGGAAATCCGAAAACGTAAACTCTGTACGAATTGCCTGCGATCCACTGATCATGCCTCGAACAAATGCCCATCAGGCAGTTGTAAAATTTGCAATTCCAAGCATAATTCATTGCTTCACCTTACCGCCGCCATTTCAACAAAGTCCGACACTCCAAATCCGCGCGAATCACCCGTGGATGACAAGGGGGAGGGGGCACCTCCGGCGAGTTCTCCTACGGCCCTTGTCACACACAGCGCGAACTCGCCTGTTCACAACTGCGTTATGTTATCCACTGCTGTTGTGTCCGCACACGACAGCAAGGGCGCTCTTAAATCCTGTCGCGTACTTTTGGATAGTGGCTCACAAGCCAATTTCATTTCGCAACGCTTCCTGGACACGCTCGGTCTTAGAACTCGTGCCTCGGAAGTCTCCATTTCGGGAATCAACAAGACAACTACAAGATCATTGCGAGCAGTCGAAGTTCATTTACAGTCGCGCATAAATTCCTTCAATATTTTATTGGATTGCATTGTCACTGATCATGTAACTGATAAGCTTCCGGCCTTTACTATCAAAAGGAGTGCCTTTGAAATTCCACAAAATATCAAGTTGGCTGATCCGCAGTTCAACGTCGCGTCAGAAATCGATCTTTTAATTGGCGCGGAGCAATTTTGGCGCTTGCTCTGCGTAGGGCAAATCAAATCTTCGCCGACTCAACCCATCCTTCAGAAAACGCGTTTCGGGTGGATTCTAGCCGGGCGACTCGATAATTCATCGACTTCCAGACAAGGCGTGCAGTCTTTTCACGCTTCAATTTCTAACGCGCAATTACAACAACAATTATCACAATTTTGGCAAATTGAGGACATAACTCAGACCTCGGACGATCACAGTGTCGAAGAGCACCTTTGTGAGCAACATTTCTTGCAGAATCTGTCCCGAGACCCGCAGGGCAGATTAATCGTGAAGCTTCCGTTCAAGGAGCTCGCCTCTATCACCCTCGGCGATTCAAGAGGAGCCGCCTTAAAACGATTGTACGGTATCGAAAAACGATTCAAACTCAATCCCAATTTAAGAACTCAGTACTCGGAGTTCATGAACGAATACTTGGCCCTAGGCCACATGAAGGCAATTGACGAGCAGTCCGATAATAATTCAGAATCCTTTTATCTCCCGCACCATTGCGTGTTCAAGTCTAATCAGGGTCGCGATAAGATTCGTGTAGTCTTCGACGCGTCGGCCAAAGGCTCAACCGGTACTTCCTTAAACGATGTGCTCATGGTTGGACCAACCGTCCAACAGGACTTATTTTCAATTTTAGTACGATTTCGCACATTTCGCTTCGTTCTCACCGCTGACATCATCAAGATGTACAGGCAAGTGTTGATTTATCCCTCACAAACACATTATCAACGCATTCTTTGGCGGGACGATCCCGCCTCCGACGTCAAGGCTTACGAGCTAGTCACATTAACTTACGGCACGTCGTCGGCGTCGTACCTAGCAACCAGATGCCTCAAATGGCTGGCTGATCATTACGCGGACGAATTTCCCGCCGGTTCCGCGTGTGTGGAGCGAGACTTTTATGTCGACGATATGCTCACTGGCGCCGACACCGTGGAAGAGGCCCTAGCAATTCGCGACCAGACAATCGAAGTGCTACGTGCGGGCGCCTTCGAACTCAGTAAGTGGGCTTCCAATTGTTCGGACTTACTAACGGATGTCGAGAAACAAACCCATGTCCCTGTTACTATTAACAAGGGCACGGAATCGTCCATATTAGGCGTCCATTGGGACCAACTCCAAGACACATTACACTTTTCCTATAAGCCCGACGCCGACCGTTCAACAATCTCCAAACGCGTCATACTTTCCGAAGTATCTAAACTCTTCGATCCTCTCGGGTTCTGGGGACCGGTCATCGTTTCGGCAAAACTGATCCTCCAGGAGCTCTGGCACTTGGGATCTCACTGGGACGAATCAGTTCCGCAAGAGCTTCACATACGTTGGACGAACCTCAAGTCGCGCCTAGTTGATATCAATAAACTCGCCATTCCGCGCCATGTCAAGCTCAATGCGAATTCACAGCCAATGCAAGTCCACGGTTTCTGCGACGCGAGCCAATTGGCTTACGGAGCATGCATTTATATCCGCACGAGGTCTCAAGACGGCACCTACAACACTGAATTATTGTGTTCAAAGTCTCGCGTTGCTCCCCTTAAGGCGATCTCATTGCCGCGTCTCGAGCTTTCAGCAGCCTTGCTATTGGCCAACCTACTGAACAAGGTAAGGGCATCAATCACGATAACTGACTCACAGATCTTCCTGTGGTCAGATTCCACTATAGTCCTGAATTGGATAGCATCGCCATCGAGAAGATGGTCAATTTTTGTCTCCAATAGAGTCGGTCAAATTCAAAACTTGACTGAACCTAGCGACTGGCGTCACGTCAAATCCGTCGACAATCCTGCTGACATTCTGTCGCGCGGCCTCGATCCACAGAAGTTAGTAGAGTCTTCCATGTGGTGGCATGGACCTCCCTTCCTGAGATTAGATGAAGAACATTGGCCCGATTCTGGGTTCGTTCATTCGATTGAGGGCCTTCCCGAACAAAAAAGGTCCGTGACAGCCATCTTGATTGTCGATCACTCAGTTATAAATGAATTGTTAACCAGACATTCAAACCTCAATAAAGCATGTCGCATTCTCGCGTATTGCCTAAGATTTCTTAAGCGCTACCGTCCGAAGGAATATACCACATTCGTGTCTCATCAAGAAATTTCAACCGCGTTACAAATCATGTGTAAGTTAACCCAGAATCAAGCTTTTCCTCAGGAACACAAGGCCTTACGCAAAGGTCATGCCCTTGATACATCAAGTAGCATATTATCATTAGCTCCGTTCATTAGCGAAGACGGATTAATTCGGGTAGGAGGAAGATTGGTCAACTCCGACTTGAGCTTTGATGCATGCCATCCTATCTTATTGCCGCGAGATCATGCCCTAACCCGTCATATCATAGAGCTTGAACACAGGCGCAACGCCCACGCGGGCGCCCAAGCCACCATGGCAGCGGTGAGGCAGCGTTTTTGGCCAATCTCTCTACGCTCAATCACCCGAAAAGTAGTAAGGAATTGCGTGACATGCTTCAAGGCCAAACCCGTTCACTCAGAGGCAATCATGGGGTCATTACCGGCAGGACGTGTAACTGTTTCAAGACCATTCGCGCATTGCGGCATCGACTATGCCGGCCCTTTCACAACCCGCGAATCAAAGCGACGTAACGCTCGCAACCAAAAGGCGTACCTGGCGCTTTTCGTGTGCTTTGCCACGAAAGCCGTGCACTGCGAGCTCGTCAGCGACCTTTCCACGGATTCCTTCTTGGCCACGCTTAAGCGTTTCGCGTCGCGCAGGGGAAGGCCGTCCTGTATATATTCGGATAACGGAACCACGTTCGTCGGGGCACAGAGACAACTTAGGGAGTTCTCTGAATTTTTACGCAACGAAAAAACGCAAGCAGAAATAACCAATTTTCTGCGCGAACAAGAGACCGAGTGGAAATTTATTCCACCCAACGCCCCTCATTTCGGTGGTCTTTGGGAGGCCGCCGTGAAATCGGTAAAGCGTCACCTCCACAGAATAGCTGGAAACTCACCACTAACCTTCGAAGAGTTGCAAACAATTTTTTGTGAAGTAGAAGCAATTTTAAATTCGCGCCCTCTTACTCCGCTAAGCAACGATCCAAATGACTTAACCTATTTAAGCCCTGGTCACTTCTTAATAGGCACGACCTTGAATAGCTTTCCTTATCACGATCTAATCAATGTAAGTGAAAATAGATTAGTACGTTGGCAGCGGGTCGAACAAGCCAGGCAGCATCTCTGGCGCAGATGGAGTCAGGAGTACCTCCATACACTACAAGAACGTTCAAAGTGGAGAGTTAACAAGGGCGAGCAGCTGAAATCCAACCAGATGGTGCTGCTCAAGCAACAAGGCCTTCCGCCCATGCAATGGTTACTGGGCCGAGTTGAGGAAGTCCACCCTGGGCCAGACAACATCGTGCGAACCGCCACTGTCCGCACAGCCAAGGGCGTGTACGTCCGGCCGCTATCCAAGATCGCTATCCTACCAATGGACGCGTAACATAATAATACTTGTTTATATTAGAATAGCATTAGTTCATAAGTTGCGTTTATGTTCCTTTTTCCGTTTCCGTCTTCTTCGTTTGATTCATTCATCGCCCGCTGCGTCACTCAATGCTTGACGGCGCACCGGCTAACCGTTAACAAATCTATTCTATTGTATGCTTTATAGTGTTTTTTCGAAAGCACAACCTTTCAACGGGGGCGGCGTTATGTTAAG